AAAAGGTGCCGATAAAAAAAATTCCACCACAGAAAAATCACTGAAACTAGACTCATTCATTACAATTTTTGTCCAGTACTCATTTGTTCAGACTCTCCATCCCTTTCAAGACTACCACGCCTTCAATCGCTTGACACACTTCCCACCGTTGCGGATCCGCGACCTGACCCGCGACCGAAACTTCTGATTGCTTACGCTCATGGAGTTGTACAGTTGATGAGAAACGAGAATGACATGTGTAAGTGAATTATACATTTTAGTACTTCTTTTACGCTTCAATGAGCTTCACTAAGGAGTCATTCGATACAATACGATCCAATAAGGAGGTCTGAAGGGAATCTTCCATTTTCGGGAAGATTTCCATGATTCCTTAAGCAATACTGTACAGTCTTGATCGCTTCGGATGCTGGGGCTTGTCAGAGAGGCTGCAGCTGGCGCGGTGCCAAGCAGTGGCTCACCAACTGTTTACGCGGATAAGCGACAATGACTGGTGGAGGACGAGCTCGCGCAGCGTCAAACCTAGCCCTCGACACGCCCCAGCATCGGCAGATAGCAAGTTATGTGCACTATGCAGATGCAGTGCTTATCGTAGCGGCCCATGGAAATGTTAGTAGACATACGTTTTGGCGCGGCGCCATCCTATTTCCACCGATAACTGCCTGGCCCATAATGGCAAAGACTGCTGCAGACAGGTTTGCGCAGCGCCAGATGTACGCAGTAACGCCTCCACGTGATGCATCGACAGCCACTTTTACTAAACAAGATCGTCTCAATGCAGGAGAGCTCTGATTTTCAGCTCCGATCGTAGCTCGATTCCCCCAGCTCACGGTAACTTGTGCGAGATGGTGTCCAAATGGGAACTTCTTCGCCGTAACAGGTCAACAACTGGACATGCCGGCTCAAGAAAATTGTGTGGTACATATAGTAACTGCGTTTGGAGTGGTCAGTTTCTCATATTTCGATCTTCCACATTTCTCTCTGAACAAACCTCCATGCTTGTCGCACTAACTCTTACCACATCTACCATTCGTCTCTCTTCTATATCATACTTGAATTGCGAGTCGCCTTACAAGTTAGAAAAGAGGTGCGTTGGTTGATTTCTCTGACAGGGTCAACTGCCCGCCGTGATCTGGCCCTCCAAATGTTACTTACCTTTGTGAATACTTTTTAGATAAACTGATATGGCGTGTCAGGAGGCCTGTATTTCGATGCAGGGACAGCGGCGTTTTCTCTCAATCACTTCCAGCTCAAATAGGCAGTCGTTGGTGGAAAAAGCAGCATCCGCAGAGTTGAAATCCAGTCTTCCTGACAAGCCCCATCAGTTCGATGTGTTGAGTTGTATCGTACTTACTCCTCTGAGCTGCTCTGATTTGCGTTCTCCAAATTTGAGCGATTTTACTGAGATGAGCTATAAGCGAAACTCAAATTTGCATTGGGATATATCAACATTGTCGATAACGTCACAACGAGTCGGGGCGGCGCAACAGGGGCTGAAAGAGCTTTTTCATTTTCTACCAATTTTCATTTTTCCATGATCCATTAATGATCCATTTACGAAGAGAACAACCAGAGATGGAAACGGCGCGGTAGGCTCAGTCCATTTTTCCTAAAACCGCCCCGACCGATGGCGAGGATATCAACTGTACATCTGCCCACAGGATAAATGCATCTCCTTTAGCCCCCTCAAATTAGAATTCGAGACCATTCCACCTGGAGTTCCATTGGAATTCGTCTTTTTCTCTATTATACCCAAAATCCCTGTAGTCTCTCTCGTGATAGTACATATTTAACTGAATCTAATCCCGAAGAAACTTGTAGAACTGCTTCAGAAGTTAACTTCACTGCAAATGCACTGTTCCTCTTTGAGCGGCTGCTCATGGGATCCCACGGGTGTCAAACTGGCACTGTCTTCGGAAAATCTGTTGTGGTTTGCAAATGTTCGTCCGAGATACAAAGTGAGTTGGGAAACTTTTGTTTTAACTGATCACCAAGGAATATGTTCAGTGGGGTTACTGTGGTCATACGGTTGTGTATTCCTATGAGAAAGCGGAACGAGGCGACTATCGAGTGGTCTTCTACGAATCAAAATTGGATGAGTCTTACTCGAAACCAGTTCGGCAATTAGAACAACTTGCATGTGGAAGCGACTATTGCGTTATAGCTAATCGGCAAGAAGATTCACTTGGAAAGGTATCATATTTAATTGTAAACAATCACGTGAATGGTTGAAGTACAAGCTTACCATCCCAAGGTTGCTCTAAAATCGATAAACAATTTTTTTGAAAGTCACCTCCACACGGGAACCTCCTGCCCACTGTGGGCTGGGCTTACACCTGGGACGTTCTATTCTACATTACCTTCTCCAGTCCAGAGAACAAAGAAAAAGACGCCTGTTGAGCAGCTCGCGAATACAAGCCCAGAAAAAGTTTTTTGAGGGTGTCAGACACTTATCCAAGATTCTCAAGTCTCACCTCTGCACCCCCCCCCCTGTCTAACAAACTATCTTGTGGGGTGGTCTCAAGTAATCGGTTGTTCGCTGACTCCAGACAGAGAGGCAGAGTTGAACCAGATATAGCATTGAATCCAGCAAAAAAAATAGTAGGAAGGCAGGAAAAATGAAGGGAATGTTAGATACGTTGATGTAAATTGAGAGAACACTAAACCACGAGAACCGAACTGAAATACAGTCTCGTTCGCTACGGATGCTAGGGATTTCGGGGGGGGGATGGGTTTTCAGCCGGTTTTCCACCGGTCAATGTCGCTTGCCGTCTTCAATATGCACTGTAGAAGACGTTAACAGCTCTGAATCCCCTTCATCAACCTCACACCTAACGAAAAGAATGCTTCTAAGCAGTCATTAAGTGAATTGATTAACAGACATTTCCAGGAGTCCTTGTTTGTGCAGCTCATCAGAGTAAAGCATTATTCAAGGACATCATCCCGACAGGCTTTATTATGAGGTATGAGGTAGATAACCAAGCCGTGCTAGAAGTTCCCAATAACAGAGTCATTTAATTACTTATTAAAGATCACCTTTCCATTAGTTATGAACTACCAAAAGAGATCAAGGACAATTAAAAGTATCAAAGGTGACATTGAATGGTCTCAATCGCCGGAAGGCGAGCGAGCAGCAGTTCATTTATCGTTATTTATTGATGAAAGTCATAATTTCTCCGTGTTTCCGCCGTTTGTTGACCACTTCCCCTGTGTATACCATATCCCAGTGATGAAGAGTCTGTGGTCGTACTTCGTTTCAAACTAGTAGTAGCAGCTGCGCTTTTGAAGGGATACTGCAGTCCCGAAACAGTTGCAGACATACTTTATCCAGTACATTAAGGAAAACACTTGCATCAAAGGAAAAATACCGAGCAGCTATCCTCGCTTACACTAATATAAAACCAGCAAGTAGTTTGGGGGGGGTTGTGGTGTGTCTGTCTGGACCACCCAAAAATTGAAGACCACCTGCTTCTGCTGGACGGATTCGAAGTGGGATTGCGGATCAGTCAATTGTCAGGGAGGTTAAGCAAGGTAACCTAAACGCGGTTGCCGCATAGAAAAAAATTTTGATGAGTGGAAAAACATTCACACAGGACCCACTTCACACCCGGAAGGAGGATCGGCCGGCGAAGCCGGCCGATCCGACTGGCCCTCCACGCATGGAAAACTTCACACAGGGACCCACTTCACACCCGGAAGGAGGATCGGCCGGCGAAGCCGGCCGATCCGACTGGCCCTCCACGCATGGAAAACTTCACACAGGCCGATCCGACTGGCCCTCCACGCAAGGGAAGAACTCACACAGGGACCCCACTTCACACCTCGGAAGAGGATCGGCCGGCGAATCCTTGCCCATCCGATCTGCGCCCTCACACCTGCTTCCTGGCAAACTTCTGTGGTGGAATTTTTTTATCGGCACCTTTTTTAGAAGGTTTGGAGACTGGAAAACTTACTTAGTTTCAGTGAAGAAACTGTCAGTTAATCAGTCAGGTCGATGTTATGAGCAGTTTATAAAATATATGTTCAGAATACGGGAAAAGCCCAGGGTCTTGAGTTTAGGAACGGTGAAGAAATGCAATCAAGATGGTAAAAAGTCATACGGGTGGACGACATTTTGACCCTCTTACTCCATGTCTGATGGTCTCTACATGCAGTTGATATCGTGCAATCGGTCAAAGCGGTCTCAGGAGGGACTGAATGAATCCACCTAGTATTTTCGCCATTGGTCGTCTTCGTCCTAAATCGAGCAGTAATCGAGCACCATTGGTAGAGCAAAGCAGCCGGAGGCGGGCTCAGCCCACCCCTCCTGACACCGCCCGACTGATTGCGACGTTTCAACTATACTCAACACTTCTGATCCTTCGTTCACCGCCAAATATCCAAAAACTTCACTCTCCTCCGACTTTTTGTCTTGCAGATCATGCAAGAAGCGTATGGGGATTCCTTGTATATTGAATACAATTTTTTCAATGAAAATTCAATTAGTTCAGAATTAAACACAGTTTTGAAACAATTCACAGGCGAAACAGATAACAAATGACAAAGAAACAAATGAATAAATGAATAAAATGACTTAAATGACTAAAAAAGAAAACAAAAGAGGAGAAGACTCACATTTCTTCTGATTGGTTGGCGATGAGCGACCTTCTGTAATAGTAAATTTCTGAGAACTTCATGATGATGATAAAACCATTGGGAGTGCTATAGAAGGGGGTGAGGTACTTTTTGTCCAAAAAGTCACTCAAAATTCCCAAGTACTTCTGCAAATAAGCTGCAGCTGCTGCATTGTGCAATCCATAGTATGCCAGCAATACTATTCACCCTTTACTGCGCCAATCTTCCGATATCTAGCCAGTTTCTGACCGTTTTTTCTCCATGGGCAAAAATGGCTAAAAATTTGTCCCCCAGGATAGCTTTACACATTACTATTTTCAGATGATTGGGGAACTCAAGGGTCAATAGTGCCGAAATTAATGTTAAGACGTAGTAGCTTAGAAGCAGACAGCCACTATATTTATCACTATGGATCACAGACACTCACCGATTTCTAGAAGACGGCATTTTGGAGTAGGTGCATACCACTTCAGCGCTATGATGTTGTCTTTACGCAAATCTTCTGAAACGTTGTACTGTAGTTTATGAAATGGAACCAGAATGTTACACATATACATACACCATATCCTAGAGATGGGGAGTTCCTAGTTGCAAACTTTATTCAAACGTGACGGCAGCTGCGTTTTTCCGGGGGAGGGAGGGGGTTCAGGCACTAGCAAAAATAACTCTCCAGTGATCATAGGATAACACTTGTATCAGAAATATTCCACAACAATGCTCCCTACGCCTTGCCCAGGTACGCAGCCACGCCCACTTCACCGTCGGGATGTAGGGTGTTGTTTGTAACGTCGCAATCAGTTGGGCGCAGGGGATGGTGGGACGAGGTATAATGTAAATATCCCACAAGCAACGCGTCCTACGCCATGGTCAAGCAAAATACGCAACCGAGCTCACTCCAGCCCATGCGGGGTGTCGTTTGTAACATCGCAATCAATCGGGAGCAGGGGAAGGTGGGACGAGCCCGCCTACAGACGCTGGTGGACGCCGTTGGTGGGCCCAGTCCATCCCTCTTGAACTGCTCTTTCAAAAAAGCGTAGCTACATTAATCCCACTCTATTTTAGAGGGAAAGCCCAAACCCGCCCTCCCAATCTCCGGGATATGGACTGAGCACTTTTCTGCGGAACCTTTAAAAACCGACTTGCTAGTGCTGTTTCCAGTTCGACGCTTTCCAAAGCAACCATATGAAGCTTTTGCTGAAAAATGGAAAGGTTTTTGTGAGTATAATTTCAAACAGTTTAAAAGTTCAATAGTATCGGAAGTGATACTCTGCAGAAGAGTTGTAGCCTGTGCTTTATTCTTATCAGGTGTTTATTGTGGATATTTTCATAGGAAATTCTGGTTTCGGCAAAATGCTTTTGATTGCCTCCTAAGAAGCTCCATCTTGAGAGCGCGAAAATTTTCGAGCTTGAAACTTCCACTATAAAAATGATTAGGCAGGAATTACGGCTACAACTGGGCGCGGAGAGCCGGTTCCGTAAAGGACTGACATAAAGGAAGTTTGTAATTATTTCTTCATCATTTTTCTCCTTGTAGAGAGGTGATGGTTTTGGATTCTGGAACCCCGATATAGATAAGTCAGAAACATTTTTAGCATAACAGAAAAGCTCACCACAAAGTTCCCCTGGAAGTCGTAGGTGTGAACTTCACCGTCACCCATTCCAAATAGCAGCAAGTTTCCATCTGGTGACCACTAGGAAAATGCTAAGGCTCGATGGTCAAAGCCAAGATCAGAGTACGTTTGAAAGCCTGGGGATTTCCTTACTTCACAAGCCGCAATCGTTCCAGGCAGTTCTTTATTCCAGATTCGATTCCCGTCCATTGTTCCAACGATGACTTGCCCTAAAGAGTATTTCAGTTTTTCGTTAGAAATAAACTTGTGCACTGCACTAAGCGTGGGCGGTTCTTTATTGGTTCCTACACAATACTGCTCTTCTAGCAGTCATTTGACACTATGCTGTTACTCCTCCATTTATCCTCGCATCCTGGTACAGTTCAACCGAGTCAACAGGGAATTTGCTATAGTTCGTACCATCGCAATCAGTCGGGGGCGGGGTGAGGAGGGCGGGATGACTACTCGACCACGGTAATTGGCCTGTGATTGATTTAGGTAGAAAACCAGTAGTGGGAACGTTACAAATAGGGCAGTTCATCCCAACTGAACCCGACCCGATTAATTGCGATGGTATCAACTGTAGATTCAAGGTATCGCAGAAAAAAAACTGAAACATACCGTCTTGATACGTTATAGCAATCTTACTTCCATCATAGTTCCATGCCATACCAACCACAACGCTTTTATTTCTAAAAAAGCGACCGCTTCAGCTGAGGGTCACAGACCAAAATTACAAATGTCTAACTAAGCGTTGTTCTCGAGGTGCGTCTATGATCTGGCTGAGTGGGGAAGCTGCAAAAAATGTGTACTTCTCCAGACTGGACCAGCGGCCATGAGGAAAGCTTTCCGGAAGGTACGACCCCCCCCCCTCCCCAACTGCATCCTCCGATACCCGATACAACCCCTCCTCTTCCCCATATACCGACTGCTTTCCTGGATTTTCCCAACTTCGTGCGAGTGCTTCTGAAAATCCCCGACAATTATAAAGTTTTCCAGTTGTGATTTGTTGTTTCCTAGAAACTCTCATTGAGCGGGATGGGGTGGATATAGCACACGTGGGAGGAGAAAAACCACGAAAACTAAACAGCCGGGAAAATTTTTTTCCAAGCGCTGCAAATTTCTCTCAGAGGCTACGACCTCTCCCCCCCTCTCCCAGCAACTAACAAGTACGAACCCCTCTCCTAACAGCCAGCAAATACGACTTTCTCCCTAATAGCGTTCGTACAAGAAAAATAAGCTATCAAATAAAATTTTTTTCGGGTCGAATACGATCCCCGTCTCCCCAGCCATCAAATACGACCCTCCCCCCTGCTAGAACCCCCCAACGTACGACGTGGTCTGGTAGCCATACAGCGGCTTGGTCAGCATGTTTGCCAAGGCGGTGACGGGCCATTTACCAGTTTAATTTTTCCCCCCATTAAGAAGAAACCCCGAGAGACTTAATTTTCTCTCTTTTTTTTGATTCGCCTTTGCTTGGCTTGTTGTCTATTATCCACAAATTCCGCCACGTTACTATTCCGTTACTTCTTTACATCTTTTAAGTGACTAACAACTGTTGACCCTCTCCGCTTCACAGCAAAATTTTGGGTAAAATTGGGCACGGGGCATCGCGCTTGGGATGTTGCGGCAATATGTATGTGGGCTATGAATACTGTTCTGAAACTATCATTTGGGGGTTTTACTGACACCGCTAACTCTCACATCCTGATTATGTGCGCTTTCTACGGTCGCCACCACTGAGGGCACCCATCTCATCAATGAAGCAATTAACACCAGCGCAGTTCTATAATCGCGCAGTTGTTCAGATACAGATAATAAAAATATATGATATTAATAATAACTAGCATACTGGATGTGTGAACTCTCCAGTAAGAGACGGGTGTATTGAACAAATGCGGTTCACTGAAGAGTTGTCCTCTTCTGCTATTTGAAAAGTCGGGCACAGTTACCTCCGACGAATAATTCGACATTTTTTCTGTGATTCTCGTGAATGGCGTTTTGAGCATTATCGATTATGTGGTCACCTGTTATTGATCATTTCCTCGTACCATGTTTCATTGTGAAGGCTCCATACAATGATTAAACCATTGGAATCACTTGTTGTTAGTTTCTGATGCACTTCGTTCCACGCGGCGCACAATACCGTACCTTGAAAGATAAACCTTTTTGAATATGTGAAGATTACTTCAACAAATAGTTGGCGTGGAGCTTCTAATGAACATGGCTTCTACCACTTTCAACGGAAAGACTTACCGCTGTGTCCTTCCAGCGCTTGATTCACCGGCATATTCATCGTTGATACACCTTTCGAATCCTCTGCAATAAAATCGAGCATCAATTACTGTATAAGAAGTCGCACCATGCGGTCATATTATTGACCCAAAACAAATCATGATCGGTATCGCCTGCGGCTGGGGATCGATCTCGAGTCCGCATGGCTGGCGAGCGTTTCACCCAGCTCACGCCTAAGCGCTTCTTTTGCTCCATTTTGATTAGGGACTCCGGGTTAGATCCCCCACATGAGTCCACAACTGGAACAGCGCTAAAAGAGGCTTCCCTGCAGAGGTACCGAAGACCCAAATCACCACTGGACGTGTTAAATGGAAAGCTCGCGATCATTTTAAAAAAGCGAGAAAAAAATGCCAACTACCCTAGCTGGAACCCCATCCCGATCCCACTTGTACGGCTCCAGCACTACGGCCCCATCCGCACTGCCGATTCCCCGATAAGAGTTCTACGACCGTACAAGTGACGATTTTCATGCTTTTTCGTCCTGCAGCTTCGTTTTTCACTGAAAGGCGGGCCTTGAAGGCGGAGTCTGGAGGCGGAGTGGAAAAAAGGAGGCGTCACTGAACCTATATTGCGCTATAGCGCCCCTTCCTTATAATTTTCTGCCGCGATGTCGGTACAAGGTAGGTCGTCGCGACAACACTACCTCCCGACGCCATATTTTCAATTTCTATACCTGATCGCGTACTGTGCCTGTAAGCCGCTGGAAGAGCGCCAAAACACACCTTAAGGCTCTCACCAACCTCTGTATCTCTACTCCCTAAGCCAAAAACAGATCGATTTACCTTGTGTCAGCTTTATCACTTTTAGCAGTCCACCAGACCCGCCACTGGCGAGGAAGTTGGTGTTCAGGTTCCATTCGACACAAGCGAGGACAGTATTTCCAGGCACTTTCACCTGAAACAACATGAGTGTAAAGTGGCTTGCAGTTGCACATACTTTCCAGTCAATGTCAGTAATCGCACAGAACTTGTAAATATTTATTTTCAGAGCTGCTATGTCAATTCCTCTGAAAAAGGTCTATGTGACTGAAAAACTGGGTTCTCCAATTTAAAGCGCTCTGCAGTATGAACCAGTAATATTCGAAAATAGAATGCCGCTTTCTCTCCTGATGAAGCTAATGCTTCTTCATGTAGCTGAAAGTGGAAGTACCACAAAACCGCTGAACTTCCTTGAAAAGTTTTGAAATATCTGGGTTTTCTATCAATTTCCGAATTTCATCAAAACCCTACCCTTCGTGTAAGTAGTAGAGAGCAGCCATTGATCGATTTCTCATTATAATTGACTGCTGAATTCAGTAACTGCATCACTGAAGTAAGTATTGCCTCAAATGAAGCTCATACGGCAGAAGGACAAGCGCGTTATTGGCGGTACGGGTAACAGCGCGATTCCTCACCATAGCAACGACCTACACTCATGCGGCTTGTAGTGCATATACAACCACCAGGGCAAAGGGGACGGGTTTAAATGGCATAAGGCACGATAATTCGGTACTCGGTTTAACAATGGTAGTAGGGGTGCTTTGTAATGGGAAAATGGCGAAAAAATGAAGTGAAGAGATCAAAAACTCGCGAAAAAAAGCCTTTGTTTTACAGGGGCCAAAAAAAAAAAGTCATTCCGGCCGAGTCACATATGAGCGAAGTTTTCGCAGCCCAGACAGAGGAAGTGGATATGAGTACCAGGGCGGAAGATACCCAAGATCTTCCTCTATAAGCAGGAGCCGGCTGCCGCCATTCACCTTCATGTACACCAAAATATGAAGTCATCTCCAGTCGCGGCCTGAGTGGAGAACGCCTTTGAAATGTCAGCTGTGCGCCTCCAAACAAGCTGCGCGGACTTCTTGAATGGAATCACCCATGGATAGCTACCTGGAGACCAGTACTCTTGATCTGCAAGACCTCCAACATCGAGCAGCTCCGGCAACGTCGCTACGGTCCAGGACATCATCTTCACCCCATTCACCAAGGCGCGGGTTGATGGTGTGGACCGGCCGTACCTGGAATGGAAGACCGATATTTTCTTTGTAGACCGGACTGAAGGGTGGAGCGCTGGCGGGTAACATCAAAGTAACTCCGAGCAAGGCACTATCCCCCCTAACATGTGTTCGCCCATACTCTTGGCCTTCGTCTATGTACTTGGGCTGCACAGGTGGTGCGCACATGGAATCGAAGGGTTTTGGAAAAACTCCCGCCTACTTCGAATGGAAGGGCGTTTCGTACCTGATGAAGATGTAATATTGAAATATGTCCCCTGACCTGTAACCCACTCAATTACCTAGTTCGGGCGGAGCTCAACAGGGGTGGTCTACAGTGGCGTGAGAAATTCCACGATCTCGCCTCAAATCTCCGGTACCCACTGACTTTCGCAGCCGGCTAACTCTCATGGCTGCTCCTCCAGAAGGCTTGGCGGAGTATCTCTTACTAGTAATGTTGATTATCTTTCAATATGCGTAGTAAATAATTGTCCGCATAAAAATAATAAAGTTGTCAACTGTACAGCGCCTTGAAAGTCATGGGAGAAAAAATGCACTTTTTTTTTGGCCCCCCTGTTATACCACTCAGCGACAATTGCTTATGTAACTGAGAGAGTTTCTTTTTCGATAGTTGATTTTTCCTGTTTCACGGACGCTATGAAGGGAGATCGCATTCCCTCGTTATTGGAGAGGGGAAACGTATTTGCCTTCTGAGAGAAATTTGCGGCGTTGGGAAGGAATTTCTCCCGGTTGTTGACTTTTCGCGGTTTTTCCCGTTTCACATGTGCTATATATCCCCCCCCCCCCGCTCGACAGCTCCAGCGTATTAGGGTAGAGGAGGGAACGAAAGGGAGGGTGGAGAAGGTCGCATCAAGCCGTCTTCCAGAGTGGGAGGTCCCACGGACTGTACCAAAATCCCCAACGAATTATGTTTATGGACAAGATAAACAGAGCTTATCAGGGCATCTGGTGGAAAGGAGGTCTCTACGCAAAGTCGTACTCCCTGGAAACGATAAGGCACGTGAAGGTGCGTGAGTAGTACCGCGGCCAGAACAGCAGTTCCAGCCAGCTGCTGCGGATTAGGATAGCATCGTTGATGGAAAGCCTGTCTTTAGTACAGTTCACGCCCTGTCACACGCCCTATCGTCTGGAGCGATAATGACGGGGCATAGGTATTTCCGCGTCATTAGGCTACTTCCATCAATGGCTGCCCGCTCCATGATGGCAACGACTGGTCGACTGGTGAAAACGAGTTGGAGCCGGAGCACATCATCCGTTGGGGATTCCCCAGGGGGTGGGTCCTATTTGGTCGTTGCAGGAGGGGAGTCGTACTTGTTCGCTGTTTGGAGAGGGAAAGATCGTATTTGCTTTCTAAAGAAACTTGCGGCGTTGAGAAGAATTCTTCTCGATTGTTGACTTTGCGAGGGTTTTTCTTATTTCACATGTACTTTATATACCCCGCTCGACAGCGCGATCGTATTAAGGGAACTAAGGGGGGGGGGTGTCGTATAAAGCCACTTTTCAGAGGCGGGGAGCGTACATAGTGGACCAAAATCCTGATGTGCCCTGAGCGGAACCGAGCCGAGACGTACTAGGCAGGAACGCGCCTACACGACGCACCGATCGCGACTATGTATACAGGGGGGGGGCAAAAAAGTCACTTCGACCGAGTCACATATCAGCAAAGTTTTCGCTGCCCAGAGAGAAGACGTGGATACGAGTACCAGGGCGGAAGATACCCAAGATGTTCCTCGATAAGCAGGAGCTGGCTCTCGCCCATCACCTTCATGTACACCAAAATATGAAGTCATCTCCAGTCGCAGCCTGACTGGAGAAGACCTTTGGAATTCATGTCACCTCCAAACAGCTGCGAAACTTCTAGTATGGAGTCACCCATGGATAGCTACCTGGAGACCAGTACTCTCGATCTGGAAGACCTCCAACATCGAGCAGCTCCGACAACGTCGCCACGGTCTAGGACATCATCTTCACCGCAGTCGCCAAGGCGCGGGTTGATGGTATGGACCGGACGTACCTGGAATGGAAAGACCAATATTTTCTTCGTGGACCCCGGACTGAAGGTGAGCGCTGGCGGTTACATCGAGCAACTCGTGAAGAATATCCTCCTCACATGTCGTCGCCCGTACCTTCTTGGAAACTTTGTACTGCTACAGCATTGGGTGCCACCACATGGAATCGAAGGGCGTTGGAGAAACTCTCGCCTACTTGGAATGGAAGGGGCTGAGTACCTAAAGAAGATGGAATATCCAAGTAGGTCACCTGACCTGAATCCCCTCAATTACCCGGTTCGGGCGGAGTTCAATAGGGTGGTCTACGGTGGCGGAGAAATCGACTATCTCGCTGATCTCAGGCACCACATCGCGGTCGCGTGCCAGAATCTCTCGATGGCGCTCGTCCAGAAGGCTGTGGCGGAGTGTCATGATAGTATTTAATATGCTCTTTAATATGGTGGTAAAAATGTCCGATCAGAATTTAATAAAGTGTAACTTATAGCGCCTCGAAAGTCAATGAAGAAAAGTGACTTTTTTTTGCCCCCCCCCTGTATATGGGCATGATGTTGCGACAAGCATGATACCGAAGAGAAACACGCAGCTTTCTAAAATTGAAGAATTGAAAAAGTGGTTTGTACCTAGGCGACTGAAGGAGCACTTTGCCCTCATGAAATGAAAAAAAACAGTCGACTATCTCGTTTCTCACTGGAAATGGTTTCAGATGTATGAATGGGCAAGTTCGAATTCTGACAGTCTCTGCTGTTATCGACACTTGACACCGCATATATACTTGAGAAATCATCGATAAGCTTGGGATAATTGGAATGTACTTTTTTCACATCACAAACAAGTCCACTTTGTCTTTGAATACAATTTCCCCAATGACTTCTTTTAAATTATTGTCTGCTGCTGGTTTCGCATAGCAACCCCCAGTTTTGTTCTTCTCTTGCCTGCCAATTTACTTCTAGAGTGTTCGTTCTGCTGGGGAAAAAATGTTTGGCAAGAGAAGCAGATGATGCCTATGTGCGGTCCAATAAGTGATTACATTTCCTCATTATTTCT